ACAATACGACATTATCATTTCCAAGTCATTTATAAAACATTTAGATGCAGAGTAAAGTCCTTTTTTACTCAACCTCAACAATGAACCTTGGTCCAAACCTCAGAAGAGCAAGTGCATTTGCAACAACTTACACATTGCTGCGTTATGTATAAGAAACTGTTTGTGTTCCATCATTGCCACATTACTGTCAAGTAGTGATAAATTGAGCAATTTCAGCTGTGGGCCCATTTTCACCAACTGCCAAAGATACCTCTCATCAGTTCTGTGAATCTTGGTTCCCACCACTCAAGTGCCAGTGTTACAGTTACTCACACTGCTGAGGTAGATATTTTTGATTCACTTTTCTTCTCTCACATAACCACAATGATCTAGGGAAAATTATCTGGCTAGATATTTTTCAATCAACTTGTTTGGAGATGTTACGACACACTTCTGGAGCACGTGGGACTTGAACCCGGGTATCCTGGCTCAGAGGTAGGGACACCACCATTGCGCCACAACAGCACAAGAACTCCTTCTATTCTACCCTCATTCTATGTGATCATTACTATCAATATCAAGTATTATCCCTGCTTGGTATTCCTGATCCTTTTCATTCGTTTTGCACAGGACCCTCAATGGTTCAAAACGTGTGTCTCCAAGCTTACCTCTGTCTCGTGTCATTACTTTAACCTAGCTTACTCCCAGTCCACCTTCCCTTCCTGGATATTTTCTCTCGCTGAATGCATCCTAAAGATGACTCCTAGAACCCTCTACCATGCCCATGAGTTCTAACATTAGGGCTTTCTGAAGTTGTTTAAGTTACTGACTTGTAATTGCTCACTATTGCTGTTGTCTTTTGTTAAGAACTGTATTCTTACTCAACAACTTGCACTTCATATATCGCACTGTTACCACAATAAGACCAAAGCATCAGTGACTCCCATTGGTTAACCTTGTACCACATTCTAAATAACGTACCTCATCTAAATAACGTACCTCCCACATACTCACCTTCACAGATGTCTAACAATTATTCCCAATGCAAGTCCCATTCTACTAAATTCTCAAATGTTGATATATTGTTACAGACCAGACAATTCCAGACGAACGCTAGCCTTTAGGTTGATATATGGAGCACAAAAGTTGGCAAATGCCATAAATACAACTCAAGTCCATGTTTACAAAGCCTACTTTTGTAAAAAAAATTCATTCATGAGGTGCAGGTATTACTGACTTGACCAACATTTACTGCCTTTTTTAACCACTGCAGTCTATGTGGTGTAGATACACCCATGGTGCTATAATGAAGAGATTTCCAAGATTTTGATCCAATGGCAGTGGAAGGTACAGTGATATAGTTCTAAATCAGGAAGATGGATGGCTTGGAAGGGAGCATGCAGGCAAG